ACCGCCGCGAATAAAAAAGAAACTATAAAATCTATTTAAGTGCACAATTTTTTCCAACAAAAAATGTTAAGATCTAAAGGTCTTAATAATATAAACAAGTTTGAAAGTATTTTTTAAGAGATATAAACATATGATATTTACATTAATTAAACTTAGCAAATAAATCCATTTAAAATCCACTAACTCCTCCCCTCCCTTAAGCGTGACGTAATTTTTGGACGGTCCCCTTACGTTAATTATCAAAAGTATCTTAAACATCCAAATTTACATAACTTTTTATTATCACTAACAAATATTCCTGAAATTTCATCTCTTATATCTAAATTGAATTCAAAAAAAACATTAGGTCCAAACATCATTCCCAGACTTTTTAAATATTCATTCTAAACTATTTCATACCTCATTCATAAATGAAACATTTCCTGATATTTTAAATTATCATGCCTTGTTTCAATATTTAGAATAACCTAAACTTTTATGCATTAACTATAGAGCTATTTCTCTATCTATCCTTTTACCTAACATTAGAAAGCTTCTTAAAAAAACTATTTATTTTAGAGTGTACTCTTTTCTAAACTCATTTAATTGTTTAATCGATTTTCAGTTTGGTTTTTGATCAAAACATTCTATTTGCCATGCATTAATAAGTATAACAAAAAAATCAAGAAAGCTCTTGATACTGGTCATTTTGGTTGTGGTGTTTTATCAATTTACAAAAAGCTTTTGATATTATTGGCCATAGTATTTTGATTTCTAAATTAGAACATTATGCAATTCGTGGTATTGTAAATGACTGGTGTCAATCTTAACTTTCAGATTGAAAACAATTTGTAAGAATCAATGGTTTTGGTTCTAGCAATAAATCAGTTTTTTGTGCTGTTTCTCAAGATTCTGTTTTCGGTCCTCTTTTGTTTTTAACCTTTGTTAACAAGTTAACTAAATCTGTTGACTTCTTGTCAGTTCATCCGTCTAGTAAAGTGTGCTAATCTTCTTTTGTTTTTGACTCTTTAAATTAAAAATTAACCTCTTTTATTACAAACTTGTTCACAGAAAGTTAGTTCATTCCTACTCTACTAGAAATATATAAAATGAAAAACTAAATGCATCATCTTTTAAAACTCAGATAAAATTACTTTTAAAACTATGGTAAAGATTCTATAGTTTATCAGTGCGTCTGTAAATGAAACAAAAGCTTTGTATGCATTTGAAATGAGCCTAAAAAATTACATCCTAAAATATCTTTACTCCAACTTAAACAAAATCAATTTATTTTTTGTTTTTTATTTATTTACACTTTTGCCGATAAAAAAAAAATTACAGTTGTAACTTATAAAAAAAAATAATTACATGACCGGGGCTGGAAGAAGACAAATTTAGTCTTATCATTAAGCCCCAAAGTCTTAGAAAAAATCTGAAAATTATCTTTTTCCAACTTTTAAACATTGTTATTTATACTATTGACTTTTAGACATTATTATTTATACTATTAACTTTTAGACATTATTATTTTTACTATAAACTTTTAGACATAATTATTTATACTATTAACTTTTAGAAATTATTATTTATACGATTAACTTTTAGACATTATTATTTATACTAATAACTTTTGACATTATTATTTTTACTATTAACTTTTAGACATTATTATTTATACTATTAACTTTTAGACATTATTATTTATACTATTAGAATATTTTTATAATAAACAAAACTTAAAAAAATATTTTCTCTACAAAAACATGCATATATGCATATGCATGCATATATATATATATATATATATATATATGAACATGCAAAATATATATATGAACATGCAAAAACATTAGTGGAAGACATGCAAATGATGATTATATATGTAATCAATCTTTACCAACACCTAAATTTTATGTGTAAATGTAACAACAGCTTGTTTCCAAAAAATTTTAATGATAAATTTATAAAAAATTTAAACAAAAAGTATTCTCTTATAATCAACCAATGGAATACTTATAAAATGCCAAAAATTAGTAGTATTAGTAAGTATTCTGAATATGGAATATCATACCGAGGACCAAAACTATAGAACACTTTTCAAAAAACAAAGAATTTAAATACGGTAAAATCGTTAAATTCCTTAAAGTTTGTAACAAAAAATGAAATTTTTAAATTAGATAGATAATTTTTTTTATTTTTCGAGATGAAAATCGAATTCTATTGATCTTAGTTTTTTACATGTTTGATTGGCCTAATCTTTTTTTGATATTTAACAGAGTTGCCAGTACATTTTAATGACTATTGCTAAATTAAAATATTATTTAATTGATATTATTTAATTTGATATTATTATTTAGCTATGTATAACTATATTGATATTATTTAATTTCTTGATTTAATGTAAATATTTATGCAAGCTTTCATTATAGTGGAGATGTATAAAGTTTTTTAATCATCTTGTTTTATTTTAACTTGTAAAGCCCACATAGGAGCTCTATTAAAAGATTTTGGTGACTTTAGCCATCCGTATCTTTTTTGAGCCTCTGCCTGTTTTTTATTAATCAACTTTTTTTGTATGGAAAGGTTTCTTTGTAATAATATCTTTTTTTATATAAAAAGCAAATTTATTTTAATTTTAATTTTTAGGTGAACGAAGAAGACCTAACGGTCTTATCACAGAGAACCGCGGAAGTCCATTTAACCAGGAAGGTCACGCCTCTTTCCTTACCGTGACGCATAAATATGTCCAGAGCTCGTTTCGAACCTGAATCTCCTGCTTATAAAGAAAGCGCTCTAACCATTGCGCCACGGCCGCAATGAAAAAAAGAAAAAAAAATCTTTTTATCATTATTACAATTATCATCAGTACTTTTTAATTATCTTTTTTCTTTATTTAATTATTATAAGCTGTAAATTATGGTTTCTTCGTGTTTGTTTTTAATATATGTTTAAATAATGATGTTTTTCAAAAAATTGCAATTATTGGAGGCTGGGAACAAAAGAGCCCTTTAACGTCTTAAACGTGAGGGGCAAGAAGTGGATAAAATATTTTTAATTTGTACAAATTTTATATGATCATAATTTTTGAACGCTGAGATATAATACTATTAAACCTTAAATTTATTGAAGAATATAAGTTTAGTTGAAAATAGTACTTAAAATATATTTTATCAATTTCTTGGCTCTCACGTTTCGGATGTGATGGGGGAGGAGGGGGGAATTTAAAGGATTTTTATGTTCCCAGCCTCAAATAATTGCAAATTTTTGAGGCTGGGAACAAAACATCATTATTTGACATAAGTATAAACATAAAAATGTTTGAAGTTTGATCCATGTCTGGAAGTTAGCTATCTAGAAAGCTAGGGTTCGTCATGTAGTAATAAGGTTTGCGCTATAGCATGTACTAATAGGTTTATGTGCTACGGCATGTAATAATAGGGTTATGTGCTATGACATGTGTTATGGTGTGTACTATGGCATGTGCTATAGCACATGGTACTATGGCATGTGCTATGGCATGTGTTATGGCATGTGCTATGGCATGTACTAATAGGGTTATGTGCTAATATGGTTTGCAATTTTGAAAATGAATAATGTGTGCTATATGATTCTGTTGTTTAAGGAGACGTTCAAGTTAAGATACTTAACGGGTAAAATAATGAAAAAACGCCTTGAGAGTTGTCCATAAATTGCGCAACACTAAACTTCATATGGATAAAAATATTTCCACCTGACCGATGATTTTTATCTATATGATAAAATTCTCTAAAACTCAGATGATTTAAACATTGCGTTCATATGTAAAATTAGGTAAATTAGTCTTAGGCAAGTTCTCGCCTTGGCGAGAACTTGCCGATGGACTCTCGGGATCCCGGTAAAGCGGGGTGAAAATTCTTCATATGAACACAAGCTGAAAACCATCCGATTAGCCTGGACAGCTTTGCTACAAAATTTAAATAGCGTTTGTTATATTTTTCAATTTAAGTTGTTTGACCATATATGTTCGTAAAATTTTAACATTTGTCTTTTTTTTTTTAAGTTTTTCAAAGCAAAAGTTGTTTTTTCGTTACTTAATTGTAAATTAGTTATGATATTTATTTCGTAAAACACGCAATATCATCAAATTTTTAATATGCATATAGTAAACGTTTCAAGGGTCTGCATTTCGCGACGTTATAATTCTCTTGTTCTATCTACACATTTTTGAGTTTTGAATTTTGAGATAAAACGATTTAAAAAATAAAAACCTTAGGCGATGGCATATAAAAGTTTTTTTTATAACTAATGTTTTCTCAGCAACTTTTTTACTTACAACTTTGATTTCAATAAGGTAGAAAAACATTGTTCTAATGTACACAACACACTCAATTACTCATTTTTTTCAAAAAGTGGAGATAGGATAAGATAATTCTATCGTCGCGATTTGCTGGCTAATTTGTCTAAAAGGGACACCTTTGACACCTCCACCCCACCCCCTTCTTTGCGCCAACCTAGGTTGTCTAGTTCCTTTTTGTAAATCAAAATAGTTTCTTTTGGTTTTTAATTTAAATATTGACATAAATGATTATTTGTAAACAAAAAACGTTCCGCTTGAGCGAGGTGTTTTTTTTCCATATGAACATGAGCTGAAATTCATCATACGTGTTCGAGTACCAAGGTCAGGCGGGATGGTTTTTTTTCTGCATGATTAGTCCCAAATTAAAAAAAACAAACATAGAAATCTAAAGTTTACCCTTGCCTTAAATTAAATAAAAGTTAAATGAAAATCGCCGCGTAAAAGAGCTTTAGATCTCCTACTTCTTTGTTTTTAAATAAACTTAGAGTTACGTAATTTATGGACAATCCCTTGCTCATGTAAACAAATATAAAAATAAATTTGATAAACATAACGCTTAAGAAATTGTTATATCAGCATAAAGTTAAAAATAACGCTAAATAATTCACTTACCGTTATGTACCGTTATGTTAGCGTTATATTTTTCACTGTGTACATAACACATTTTAATTTAATTACAAACTAATGATCTAATTTTATAGATATTAATAAATTTTATAATGAAAAACAATTTTTAAGTAAAAGTTACACGTTAGTGCACTGGTTTCTTGAAGATGTCAACGATTCTTGTCTTTCTGTATTTTTACAAAAAAATTTTTTCAAAAATCGAATTGATTTTAAACTGAAAATAAAATTTCGAAACTCCCAATTAAACCAAATATTAACAATAGGGTTTATTGATGCAGATAATTTTGCAAACAAAGCTGCACTTGTTGATACCAATGAAGGGATAGTTCTGTTCAAAATAGATAAAAAACCTATAACTGCGTACGGACTCCAAGCTATAGTATACAAAATTGTGGATGCTGCAGCCATATTAAAGTATTTTTTTTCCAACCCTTTAATTTTTTTCTGATACTCAATTGAAGAATGTCTTTTCCGACTAGGAGAGTTTTGATTGACAATAATAGCATATTTTTTACAAAAAAGTAGAACAAATATTGTAACTAACGGTAAAATGAAAGCAAACAAAATAACGCAAATAATATAAGAGAAACTATCTTTTTGTTCTAAACGCCAGTCTAAAGAGCAGCGTTTTCCGTCAATATCTTTAGCATACTTTGACCATTTAAAAAGTGGTAAAACTGGCCAACTAACTCCGTATATGTAACATAAAATCAATAAAAGAATTGCCAACCACCTTTTTGAAAAGGTACTTATGTAAAAAACTGGATACTTTAAAGCCAAAATTCTTGAAACTGAAAGCACAAGAAAATGCATTAAAATAACGACAGCAAGAATAAACGTTAACATTGATGATCCTATACAAACCCACGATCCACTTTCAGAAGTAGTTACTTTTATGACGCCCAACTGAGCAAGTAGATCAGGAACATATCCTAAAGTCACCTGCAAAATCTCACATAAAGAAATACTTGCATTAAATAAAATCGAAATATTTATATAAGAGTATCGGTTTTTGAGAAAAGTTAAAAGCAAAACATTCATTGTTAGTGTAAATGTTAGAACTAAACATATATAAGTTGACTCTAATGCATTGATCATTTTAGTATTTAACTGCATTGAAAACTAATTGTTGTTTCAACTTGTTAAAAAATCAAGATTTTATTTTAAATCTTAACATTAATAATTTATAAATATTATTACATGTAAGTAGTCAACCAATATACAAGATTATATTTAATAACTACCTAAGGCGTCACCTTATGTAATTCAAGCTAAACAATATTTTTGTTCAAAAAAGTTTAACAAAAATAATGTATGACCAACCAAACGTTTATAAGCAAAAAGCATGAATTGGTAAGCATGAATTGGTATTATGGTTTCACTAGAATAAAATTACTTAAGTTATATATTAAAAAACTCTACAGGAATAAAGACTCGAAATAATTAACGGACCATCGTATAAACAACAATGCTTTAATCATGATAAGTATTTATTTACATCTTGCTCGTGTAATTATTTGTAAAGTTTGTTTTACTTATGCAAATCCTTTCTTAATTCAAATAAATCTTCTAAACTAAATAACTAAATGTTTTTATGTTCTTTGTTTTATGTTTGAATATAAGGTAAGTTCGACCACGATGTCATTTATGTGATTAAAAATAAAAATATATCGATAGCTTAAAAAATGGTAACTTTATCTACCAAACTTATTTTCATTTTATATTTTATTTATCTTTTAGGTTGTTATTTTAGACATACTCATGAAAATATTTTAAACGATACTTGACAACAGGATGACTAGGCCCTTTACGAGTATCCCTTTTTTTTATTGTTCTTTACTATAGTATATAATATAAAGATACTAATAAATAAAAAAAGAAAAATTACAAGAGAAAAATAAAAAAAAGAAATGAAGTATAATAAAATACTCCTGGTAGTTAATACTGTTCTTGTCACAGAGGTGTTAGAGAAGTTAGAACTTTTTTAACATAAGTTTTTAAGTTTATTTGTTTTTTTTTTTTCTTCATATGTTGTGCACTGCTTACATCCATCAAACTACTGAGTCTTCTTAACCGCTGAAATATGCAAATAAAAATCTTTATAAATTCTAAATAAATATTGCATCTAAAATGACAATAGTTTCAAAAAAGAATGCGGATAAAAACGTTAAAAATTTTTGAAATTAAAATATAATGTCTAATATGTTAAAGATATGTGTTATCAACATTATTTCATGAAGTGAAAGCCATTTTTGATAATATCATAATCGCCTAATCTTATATTTCGGATATAGGGGAAGTGGGGGCATAACCGCCCCCGTAATGTTGGACGTTTGGATTAATGTTATTTGAAAATAAAAACGAAATGTGTTTTTTTAACAGTTTATTTCAATAACCACATCATTAAGCTTTAAATTGATGCATTTAAGAAAAAAATTTAATGGGTTTTGAAAATGTTATTACACAAAAATTACACTTAGTGAAAAAAACGGTTTTGCCCTCATTGTGAGGCACAACCGCTCCCTCACAAAAATCAATGGGGCTACACCTTTTATGATACATTTTTTTTACAATTTTCACAGCTCAGATTATTTGATAATTTTGTTGCATGTTTGCATACTGTGCAGACATTCTTTGTATTTACATTTTGAGTTCTGCCCCAGAAGAGAGTTCTGCCCCAGAAGAGAGTTTTTAGAAAAAATTCAGTTTCATAGCTTAATTATTAGATTATGATATTATCAAAAATGGCTTTCACTTCATGAAATAATGTTGATAACACATATCTTGAACACTAAAATCAAATATTGCTTAATTCTCAAAAAGAAGGTCAGGAAAAATATGATGTAAATATAATATTTTTATCAAAATAAACATTATTATTCATAACTTTTCAGAAACTTAACAGTCACTCTTTTTGACATATGCAAAATGAAGGAAACTGTTTTACTAACGCGTGGAATGTTTTTTGCCATATAAGATAACATTTTTTGAAGAGAAATGTTAAAAAACAGTTGTGCCTCTATATGTGGTTATGCCCCCATTTCCCCTAACCGTTGGAATCTTATTTGTCGATTACGAATGAAAAATCTTATTTATCGTACATAAAAGTAGCATACATATATATATTTGCAGATAGGCAAAAATTGAGACACATTCATTTTATTCATTCATAATTAATCATTTTTTTAAATCTTTTTACTGTTTTTTCTTGTTTTTTTAAAAAAAATTTTTATTAACTTATATATATATATATATATATATATATATATATATATATATATATATATATATATATATATATATATATATATATATATATATATATATATATATATATATATATATATATATATATATATATATATATATATAAATACTAAAGCGGATCCAGAATACTTTTTGAGGGGTGCTAAAAAAAAGAGAAGGGGCATTGTCAGCCATTCGCCTGTAACCAATATTCAAAAACTGGGCCGGCGCTTATAGGTGACACGTAGAGAATGAGAGGGGGAGGGGGCCTATAATAGTTTTCAATTAAAAAAAAAAAGACATTATCTTTTAAAATTCGCCGACTGACTGTTCTCAAACGTGTCAAATGTGCCAACTAAATGATCGAAAAATTCATTAATGGGAGGGGTTAGGGGAAAGTACCACACTTCCTTTCGCGCTGGTTTTGGATGGTATATATAGTTTTTTAATATTGTTAATTTTACATGCCCTGAGAATTCTTAATGGGCTTATTGCAGAGCACCGCGGATGAGCATGTAGCTAGTAAACTTATGCTGCTGCAAAATATATATATATATATATATATATATATATATATATATATATATATATATATATATATATATATATATATATATATATATATATATATGTATATATATATATATATATATATATATATATATATATATATATATATATATATATATATATATATATATATATATATATATATATATATATATATATATATATATATATATATATATATATATGATTAGGTTTTAGTATTGCAATATGCGACAAGTTATGACGCCCTGAAAGAAACTTTAAAGTTTGCTTATGAAATGAAAATTGAAAAACAATCAATAAATTTTATTCAAACTTATTTCAATCCGGTCCGTGGCTTAAATAGACGACTGCCTCCAGTTTATGTAAATATAAAATACAATACTATGTTTATAGATATGTTTATATCTTCTGTTTATTTAGTTTATTATGATTTTTTAATTTTTTTTAAAGAAATTATTATTCAAATTTTTTTAATCCATCCAGTTCATACAGCTTCTGAAGACTTAAATTTTGATACAGATTCTTATTCTGAGTCAATGGAAATGTTTCATTTATTGTAACAGTTTAGATAGTTTGTTTAGTAATTTTTTATCTATAAAACATTTTGATATTTTAGGCACAAGGTAAACAGGACACTGCTGTTAAGTTAGCTGTCACCGCTAAAAACTTATGTAAAATTTTTCTTTTACACAGGTATTTTTTAATTATGCCAATGTTGTTGGAGGTTAAAAACAATAAATTTTATACAAAATTTTTTTAACCCGGTCTATGGCTTAAATAGACAAGTGCTTCCAGTTTATGTACATATTAAATGTAAAACTATGTTTATATCTTTTTATGTTTAGTTTTTTATGATTATATATTTTTTTAAAGAAATTATTATCCAACTTTTTTTTTTTTTAAATTCATCCACTTCGCACAGCTTCTAAAGACTCAATTTTTGATACATATTTTTTTTATAAGTCAATGGTAATGTTTTATTTATTGCAAGAATTTAGACAGTTTGTTTAGTAATTTTTTATCCATAAAATATTTTGATATTTTAGGCTCAGCATACCTAAGATAGTGTTGTTAAATCAGCTTTAAAGCCCCTGCTACCGTTAAAAACTAATTATGCCAATTTTGTTTAAATGATTTTTTTAACTAATACATCAAGTTTCTACACATTTTTAGAGTACAACAGAAACAAATATTCAAACATCATCAAGTGTATGTATTGTAATTTTATAAACAGATTGTTCTGCTATAGTTTTTCAAATGATAAGTTTTTGATACAGCTATTTATTGTTTTAGTACTGCTCTTCAATAACTACAATTTGTCAAATTAATGTTTTCTTTTCTTTTTCTAAACCTTAATGGTTATATAAATATATTTAATACTGCTTTATTTTAGTTTTATTGCATCAGAACATAACTTATTTTAAACTTGCTGTTTGTGATAATTTGAGATTTATTCTATTTTGTTTTATTGATACATATATTTTAAAGATTTCTAGTTTGCAATTACCTGCATCTATCCAGGCAACTGCAATTTTTTTAAAATTGTAATTTACTTCTATATCTTTTACATAATAAGTTTGATTGTGTTTTTTTAATTTCGAATAGGTTTCAAGCGTTCGACAGACAGATAAGCTGTCAAATGTATGCCACAAAATATTTATTTTTCATGCAAAAGTATTATCTTGATATATATATATATAGATATATATGTATCTTGATATATATATATATATATATATATCTTGATATATATATATATCTTGATATATATATATATCTTGATATATATATATATATCTTGATATATATATATATATATATATATATATATATATATATATATATATATATATATATATAATATATATATTATATATATATATATATTATTGTCATTACTTTAAAGTGTTATAATTTTATTTGGGTCAGGTATTCCGCTGATTCAAGTTTATTACAGATGCATGATAATATGCTTGGTATTTGCAATTGTCTAAATGGTGAATCATTTAGTCCACAAGGTTTGAGTATTTTATATTGCTTAGGTTCAGTATTTATTTTTTACAATGTTTTTTCATGAAAAACAGGAGTATTATTTGTTTTAAGTAACATTAATAACAGGTCATTTTCTTTTATAAGAGGCACTTTCTTTCATAACAGGTCACTTTCTTATGAGTGCGTACATTTTTTGTGAACTAAATTATATTCAATTTAAGTTGATAAGCCTTGAACAAAGGCAGGGAAAGTTGGAAGAACGTTTTTGTAATGATCCTGTTCATCAGAATATCAGCCAAATCCAGTTCCCAATTTTCAATTCTGTACTGCAATATTATCAATTTACTTATATTTAAACGCATATTTATATTCTCGATGTGATTATATGTAACAGTCTCTTAAATAAACAGAAATTATGATAATAATTACTGTTTATTTAATTATTATAATTATAATAGTGATTATTTTAGTATGATATATTTATATCATCAACTGTTCAGGCATCACGAAAAAAGAAGTTGAATTAAAAGTTGCACGATTTTTTAAAAACGCCACAGATTGCTTTGATGGTCGGGTGCGGTGACGTAAGAAAACAGCAGTTTCGGTTGGCGCGAAAGATACAGACAGTGACAATTAGATATGAAATCACACATACAGTCACAGTCATACACACACAAGTATATATATATATATATATATATATATATATATATATATATATATATATATATATATATATATATATATATATATATATATATATATATATATATATATAATTAAAAAAGCATTTAGAATTAATATATGATATACTAGAAAAATATCTAGTGTTTATATTTTATTTATAAGAGTTATTGTTCTTTCAGATAATATAAACGAGCTAAAAGAATATTGTTGCACAACAGCAGCAGAGGAGGATAAAACAAATACTTGTTTGATAAGTGTTTCCTAAGGTGCCTTTAAAGTGAAAAGTAATGGTGATGGTATAAGTAAATTTTATTATTATTTTCATGTTTATAATTTATATTATATTATAAATTATAAATAAATTATAAATAAAATAAAAAATAATTTATATAAATATTATATTTAAGAGTTACCCGATTTTGCTCTGTCTCCACCAGTTTTCGAATCTGTCCCAACAAAAATCATTAAAGAGATCGTTTGATTTTAATCACCTAAATCTACTTTTTTTAAACAATCAAATATGTGTTCTGATATCTAACAATTTTTAAGTTATTAAAATTTAAAATATATTCAATTTGCAACACCTACAATCTATAACATTTTTGTATTTTTAATTTTAGCTTTACCTTACACTTTTTTACCTTTAAGTACAGAGGAACAATCTACTTCGTATTCTGATTCACTATATTTGTATTACTTTTAAATTTTTTATTTAAAGTTTTTGTTTATTAAATTTGGAGTATTATTTTGTTGTTAATTTTAGCTTTGTCTAACTTCTTTTTACCTTCAAAATCAACTGAAATATAGCAATCAAAATTTCATACGGTTACACCTACACCTACGGGTACACTGTCTTTGATAATTAATATATTTAATCTAAAAATTTTTGTTCGAAAACTGTAGCTGTATATGTAGTATGTTTACAAGTTTTTTGCCGCTTATCTAACAGCTTGTAACAACACTTTATGCATATATATATATATATATATATATATATATATATATATATATATATATATATATATATATATATATATATATATATATATATATATATATATATATATATATAAATTGTTAATCAATACTATCAAATTATGGTGACCCAAATTTACCTTTATTATATTGTTGCTCATCACCATTAATTCAACTCTTTTACAAATTTTGATTTTTTTGAATTCTTCAAGATTCCATCCAACAAGATCATCGGCATAAACAATCGATATTGATTTATCAGATAAACAATAAATTAAAACATATTTGACCGATGTACTCCATCAGATGTTAAAATTATTACTAAATAATGTAAAATCAGTAACAGTTCAAAATTATTACTAATAAATTTTGATGATACAATAAAATAAAAAAATGTTGAAAGAAAAGATGCTTTTGATACGCCTTTTAGCCCTAAAATGCTTAAAATAATTGCTCTAGCAATATATTGGTTATATCTAATCTTAGTGCAAAATATTAAAGCAACACTGGTTTTTAAACATACAACACAATTCAAATTGTTTAAGTATTATTATATTTAAATATTTACAACATAAAATCTACTATAAAAACAAAATTATTATTACATTTAAAATGATTGACTCATTACACAGTCATTAAACAACGCCATGATAGAAAAAAAACATTTATATGAAAACAGCACATTTACAAAAATCATTCCGTAAAATGTTTTTTTTCCGAGTTGTAGAATTCCGTAAAATAAAGTCGACTAAGGGCTAGACCTGATTTTGTCCATACCGATCCCTTATTTGGATTTGCCATATACAAAATTTAATGTTTAAAATTGATTAATATAAACTAAAATTTATTAAAAAAGTAAGATAAGCTATTATAAACGTAAATTGATAAAAAAAAAAAAAGTTGAAAAAGTTACCCTTAATATACCCTTATCATGACATAATTTCATGATAATTTTTTAAGTCATAAAGTCATGATAATTTTTTTATAATAATCCCCGCCTTAAAATGACATAAGGGACCCTTAAGGGTCCCTTATGTCATTTAAAGGCGAGTAGAGCAACAACCTTTCGGCGGAGACTTTCCATTTGTAACACAATCACTTTTACTTTAATTTTATTAATCTTTGGTATGAAAAAAATTTGAAAAGTTTTAGAAAGAATAAGTTATGTACATAAATTATTTTGCAAATCAAGTTAAAATATTCTACATTTAAAAAATCCTGATGGTAATTTGTCATCTACAAAACAAAATTGATCTTCTTTTAGGTAAAAGCATGCATTTTTAGCGTCACTGAAACTTTTAGATTTTGAGACTTTTGTAGTAAATAAATATTGTATGTTTTAATATTGTTTTGTCATTTGAACAACAGGACTCTTAAAATTTTTCACTGCTTTTTTTAATGTCTGCATATAATTTTCAAAGGGAAAACAAGATATTTTATTTAGTGAACAATCAAATCTAACAACATTATAAACACAGAATGATTTTGTATATATATGTTTCGAATTAGTAACAAAATATTTTATTATTTTTCTAGCAAATTCAAGATAGTGTTTTCTAAATTAATTGTGTTCATTTTAGAGAATCACCATTGCAACATGCAATGTTAGAAAATGATTATATAATTCTTTGCTAACAATACCCTTTAAAACTAAGGGACCAGTGTATAAAATAAATTGTCTGAATTCTGTTGCTTTCCAACGATCTAACTCTAAAGGGGAATGTGGTTGACGAGCAAATTTAGATAGCATCATACCACGTAAGCTTAATAGGTTATCATATATTTTTTCCATTTAGGCATTTAAAAGTCTACAATGTTTAGGACCTAACATTAAAAAAGTAATTATTCGTCTTAATATTTCAAGACAAACCATGTGCATTCAATCTAAAATTAAATCAGAAACACAATATATTTTAAGTTGAGCTATAGGAGTAAAGGATTTCTGATGTGTAGTGTTCAAAAAGGTATTAAACTCCTCAATGAAAACCACTCTATGTTCTCATATAATCCTTTAACTTGGCATCATTCGCAAGAGTAATATCCTGTATGACCTTGTATACATTTAAGAAAATAACGTGAAGGTGCATCACATATGAATGCTTTAAGTTTAAAATTAACATTTTTATTATTATAGTATAAACATTCGTTAGATAAAAATAAAAATTCTTTGATAAAATTGTCCAGAAAATCATTTAAGAAATTTGTTTATCTCCACAGAAAAATGCAATTATAAAATTATGGTTCTCTATTAGACCAAGAACTGGCTTTAGTTGAAGATTAGAAGTTTTGATAAGAGGTAGTCAATCAACATTAACAGTAATAAATAACTCAGTATATTAATAATCATTTTTTGTATTCAAAAAATAATTAAGACCATCAGCAATGGTAAAATTTGCATAAGTTCCACCACATTTTCCATCTAATGTAAAAACTTTAGAGGGTTTTAAATAGGTTTTTCCATACTTTAGCAACTCTAAATGACTATGCCTTCTTAGAATATTTAAAAGTTTGTTTAAATTACAAAATTCTAATAATTACAACTTGAAGATAAATTGTTTACTTTACTTTCTTAAAAAATATTAATAGGGGCTTCACAAGGTGTTTAAGGTTCATAAGGAACATTAAGTTCATGAATCATATTAGTACTAATATTAATAACTTCATCACGTGTCGTTATAAAATCCAACATACTTTTATTTAGGCGTTTTCTATAACGTAATTACGTTAAAGAAAACTGATAAACTTTATACGAGACCTTATTTAGCTTTAATAAGACACGAAATATCTTCACTCTAATACAGTCTTTTTAAAGACGTATTTAAGACGTTTTAAAGTGGGCTATTTAAAATATTACAAACCCGGTGGGAAATGACCTAGCGACTAGCTAGCTCTATAGCGATTTTCAAGCGATTTTTTTTTCTTATTTTATTTTTTGCAAATGTCTTTAACCTCTTTAAAAATTCGATTTTTAGTGTTGAGTCTATTATAACTATGAAAATAATTGAACTTTAAACATTGCGATTTTGTAGCAATGTGTCGCTGGCTACATATCGTAGCTTTGTAGCTAGCTACAAAATATTTACAAATCTATAGCTGCTTGATAGCTAAATATCAAAATTTTTTAGACAACGATTTTATTACGATATGACGCTAGGTACAATAGCCACTGGATCTTCAGCTTGTTAAGCTAGCTGTCCACGTAGCCAAATCGCAGTCTTTATCTTTAAAAATATCGATAGCTTTTCGCTAACTTAATAAAGCTAGCAATCCTCGTGGCTGTCTTTATGGTAACGATTATAGCTAGCTATTCGCTAGCCGATTTCCCACCGGAAATAAAATAAAAAATTGACGTACAAAAGACGTCATACAAAACCACAAATTATTTTACTGTCTTTTTTAAGACGACGTCTTTAAAACGTAAATAAGAAAATTTAGATTAGCGACAAAAAAAGGATTTAAAAAACCTGTTATTAAACGTCTTGAAGACGTTTTTCGAAGAAAAGACTATTTAAAGACCTAAGTTAGACGGTCTTGAAGACGTCTTGTGTTTGCTGGGAAATCATTGTTATACAGAGAGATTTACAATAAAGTGGCGGGATGGTTTATACTTAAAAAAGGTTAAGGGATGGCACCCTGCTTCATCTCGCACCAATTCGAGCACTGCATACATACATACATACATACATATATATATATATATATATATATATATATATATATATATATATATATATATATATATATATATATATATATATATATATATATATATATATATATATATATATATATTACATATATATAAATATATATATATATATATATATATATATATATATATATATATATATATATATATATATATATATGTATATATATATACTTAAATATATAAATTTATATAAAAATATAAAAATAAATATATATATATATATATATATATATATATATATATACATATATATATATATATATATATACATACCATATATATATATATATATATATATATATATATATATATATATATATATATATATATATATATATATATATATATATATATATATATATATATATATATATATATATTATATATATATTTGTTTGTATGTATGTATATAAATATATATATATATATATATATATATATATATATATATATATATATATTATATATATATATATATATATATATATATATATATATATATGTATATATATATATATATATATATATATATATTTATATTTTTATATAAATATATATATTTAAGTATATATATATACTTATATATATATAAATATATATACA